CTCTTAATCCTTTCCTTAAGCCCTTCCAATGACAGCCAACAAGCTGCTGTGCTCAGGCATGCTGTGATTTGGGGCTTTTCTGGGAAGGAGCTCCCCAGCAGCAGTGGGGGGTGCGATCCGCGTCCCCTTGGTGTGCGAGAGCTGGTGCTCCCTCCTCCTGCGCTGCCTCCCCTGCCGCGCCGGGGACGGGTGCCCCTACATTTCAGAGCCGTACCTGAAATGTACCTGAAATGCACCTGAAAACTCTTGATGTTTTTCCTCATGCCGAAAGTTCACAGAAACTGCAGCATCAGAGGCCAAGTGACCAAACCCCTTCTGGAAGCGGGACTGGGGCTTTTTGTCCTTTTACCTCTTCCCCACACTTCTGAGAAGGAAGCCCCTGGTCGCAGGCTGCAGCGATGCAGAGTTGCGTCTCCTGGCAATTAGCGCTGCCGCAGCAAGGTGAGAGCAGCCGTTAATCACCCCAGAGGTGTCCAGGGCCAGAGCTATTGCTGTTGCTGTGGTCTGAGCGCAGTGAGACGGTATGGCTTCTGCCTGGCAGGGGAGAGCCTCCCTGGCATGAGCAGCGGCCCCAGGAGAGCCGATGGTTGTTCTATGGCCCTGGATGGATCCCTCAGTCAACTGAGATGCTTCACAGCACAGAATAAATGATGCTTGCGCCACCCCAGATATATGCTAGTGGCAATTTCATTAATTACTTCAGTTTCAGGATGCACTTGATCAACTTCATCTCTTCATCCAACTTTCTCAAGGTCAGTGCTTTTCAGATACGTTTTGGAATTAATTCTCCCATCAGGAAGCTCGATTATTCCGCATTGCACTTGCTTCAGCTGACTAAGAAAACTCCTCATTCCCTCCCTGCCACTCGCAGCCCTCGTGCCATGGAAGGTTAACCTGCCAGCCTTCAGACTGACCACGACACCTCAGCTTCCAAGTGAAAAGTTTCCAAATGCCTAAGCATTTATAGGTCTGACAGGTTGCTTGATTTCAAGGGGGGGAGCTGTCCCTGGGAGATGTCTCCTAAAGGCCCCCATGTGCATGCAAGGGGGAGAGGAATCCCCATTTTCATCACCCTTCCCACAGATGGGCAAGGAAACATGACCTTTTCTAGAGAGGCAAACCCCAGCACGCTGAGTACAATCTCAGCATCACTTTGCAGGTTTATTTTGAATAAATAAACAGTTTGAATTTGCAGACCCTGATGCTTTTGCGCAGCTTTCCGAGCTGAAGTGCTGCAGTTGCTTGCTCAGTGCTGCAGTTTTCCTGGCTGCTTTGGACGTGGCCAAAGTTCAGCACGTGCCTGTGCTTGTCTGCAGGGACGTGGGGAGCCTGTGGTCCTTCGGCTTTCTGGTGCACCCCCGCCAGCGACCCCGACCCGGAGCAGGCGTTCGTTGGGTGCTGCTCAAATGTGGGTGGCTCAGCGTGAAACACAGGAGAACGGCAGCTTGTCGTGCTGCTGTGGGAGGCTGCTTGGTGATGATAATATCAAGGTGTATATATACATTTAAAAAAATTTTTTAGTGAGGTATGAAGCCTAATGAGGGAGGTGTTTTATCAGCTGAAGGGTCAGTTAACATACTTGGCTAGTTCATACATTGATATTTTATCAGGCTTTAAAAGCAGAGCATGTACCAGAATAGAAATAAAAACCACAACTGAAGAGTAAAAAAACCCCAACAAATCAAAGTAATAAACTGTAGAGTAATGAAAGATATTTCATTTGGCAGCGGGTGTGATTTAATAAACTCGGACAGAGCAGATTGCTGTGATTGCAGCTGGGGAGACAGTGCCCTGTGCCCGCTGTTGCTATCTCACAGAGCACCTTTAGCAACTTTCCCAGCTCCATCTTTAAGTGTCGCACGTGTTTGTCCTCGCGTGTGCCCTGCCTTGCTGCTCCCACGGCTGAAAAACTCCCACCAGGATCGGCTGTCTCCATCTGTGTGATAAATCGCAGGACGCTTCCTCCAACGCTCAGCACCGACACAGCATCCCGTCGCACTGTCCCCTCCCGCCCGGTGTCTCTGCCTGTGGAGGGTCCGTGGCCAACATGGGGGGCTTTGGGCTCTTGAATCTCTGGGGTTTGTCTGGCAGGGGCAGGGCAGAGGAAGGGGAAGGAGATGGAGAGAGCTCCCTGCGTTTGCCACAGGCAGAGGGCTGGAGAAACAATGCTCCCCCAGGCCACGTGAGCCATCATTTCATTATTGCCTCTGCTTCAGGATGTATTTGGCCAATTTCTTCTCTTCTGCATCCAAGTTTCTGAAGGTCAGTGTTTGTCAGAAGCAGCGCTGGGATGAACTCCCCTACCAGGATGCTCAGCCCAAGAGCTTTTGCCGGCTCTCCTCCCCCATGCACCAAATGTAAACACACACTAAAAACCGAGACTGAGAGAAATAAAGAGCCACAAACCACCAGTGAGGCACTGTCTCATCTGTCTTAGTGACTAGCACTTTTGTCAAACCAAGCCAGTGACTTATTTCTCTTTTCCTAGCACTCCCTACCTCAAACCGAAGCAATTTTAGTAAGGCTGCATTTCAAAGACTTTGAGAGATGCACGGTGGCCATAAAGCAGAGGTGACTTTTCTGCTAGGTCATGTCGTGGTCCTTCCCATCTCCTGCTGGTCCTTCGCTGCCTTTCAGGGTGGCGGGAGGATTTCCATGGTCTCAGGAGCGATACGACCGCACAGACGAACTTGGAAACCTGAATCTCAGAGAGGGAAAAGCATCATCTGTACTGGAGCAGTGTGTGGCAGCGATGCAGCCGGCCCGCCCAGGGCTGAGCACGGGGTCATGCATGGCTGCAGTCCCGGCTCTGCTGTCCCGGGACATCCCCTGCAAAGCTCCCATTCCCGTGCTGCCCCACGGTCCCATCCCAGCTTCCCACACCCCAGCTCCACCTGCTGCTCTGGACGCAGTGTCGGCCACGGAGCTGCTCCCCGTGTTGGTGCTCTCCTGGCCAGCACCCATTGGTGTCTCTGCCATGACGGGCTCTGTCGTGCCTGGTGTCAACCCCAACCCCAGCCCCTATGTGGTATGGAGAAGAAAGCCACTGTCTGCATGGAATGCTGTCATCACTTGCTTTAGTCTTTGGAGGTGACCGTTACCATAGCCAACATGGGAAGAGTCTCCAGTGGTTTGGAAGTTCGTTTCAGATGAGCGTTAGTGCTGACCAGAAGAAGGTCGGGTCTGCAGAGCTGGAGGTGCTGGTGAGATCCAGCTGGTGAGATCCAGCTGGTGAGATCCATCCAGATGTCTTGGCCCCATCCTGTCAAGGAGTGGGTGGGAATACCCCGGGGTTTGGGGAGGACTTCCCAGGGAGGGACGGAGCTGGTTGGACACGGTGGGCATGTCGTGTCAGGACAGCTCTGCTGGCTTGCTGCAATTACTTCTGATTTGCAAATGTGTGAGCTCCCTCTTCTGCATCCTCTTGGTATTTATGCGCAGTCTACAGTCCAAATTAGCACGAGCTGTCCGTCATATTTTTGGTAAGCAGGATTCTGGGTTAAATGTTGTCATCCTGGCAGGGAATGCAAGATCAGCAGCAAGAGAATGGGGGAAATGCCCAATTTCAGAAGAATTTGAATGCAGGTGTTCATTTCTCATTTGGTGTAAATCTGGGGAGGTTTACTTGAAGGCTGAATAATATAAATGCAAACATACGCCAGAGACAATTTCTTTACCGGTACCGCTCCAAAGCTTGACTAACTGCTTGACTAACCTGATCTCCTTCTATGACAAGGTAACCCGCTTAGTGGACGAGGGAAAGGCTGTGGATGTGGTCTACCTAGACTTTAGTAAAGCCTTTGACACCATTTCCCGCAGCATTCTCCTGGAGAAACTGGCTGCTCATGGCTTGGGTGGGAGTACTCTTTCTGGGTAAAAAACTGGCTGGATGGGCCCAGAGAGTTGTGGTGAATGGAGTTCAATCCAGTTGGTGGCCGGTCACGAGTGGTGTTCCCCAGGGCTCAGTATTGGGGCCAGTTCTGTTCAATATCTTTATCAATGATCTGGACGAAGGGATCGAGTGCACCCTCAGTCAGTTTGCAGACGACCCCAAGTTGGGCGGCAGTGTTGATCTGCTCGAGGGTAGGAAGGCTCTGCAGAGGGACCTGGACAGGCTGGATCGACGGGCCAAGGCCAACTGTATGAGATTCAACAAGGCCAAGTGCCGGGTCCTGCACTTCGGCCACAACAACCCCATGCAGCGCTACAGGCTTGGGGAAGAGTGGCTGGAAAGCTGCCTGGCGGAAAAGGACCTGGGGGTGCTGGTCGACAGCC